GTCTTCTAATCCAACCACCTGTGGATCTCCTATTTAGCTAGGGTTACATTATTTGGAATGGCTGGGCCATTCTTCTGTGTAATTTTTAGGTTCTTCTGCAAAGTAATGATAAAATATGAGTCTGCCTCCATGTATATTTCAGAGGCAGCCTTCACTGGACTACACAATTCATCCAGGATTGAGAGATGCTCCTTTTTTTGTATCCAGTTTCCTTTATTCTCCTTCTTTTGCCTCATTCTTTCTCTTTAGAGTTCCACACACGAAGTCAAGTTTGAATTACCCATTTTCTTAGCTGTTAGGCATTGCGGAACATGATCAGCTCCCAAGTCACCATGTGCTTCTAGGCTATTGCAGTCAACTGTTTTTTATGGGTGAGCAGATAGGAAGAATGAGCTCAAATGTCATAATTTTTCACTTTTTATTGTTTCCCCAGGATGTGGGATCTACTACTTGAAGTTCCAGCAAGATATTAATCATATTTAATGTCATGTTACTACGAAATACTGTTTCCTTTTTCCTCCCAGTGACCCTGCTGCAAATTGCTAGTGAGAAACAGCAGCTTTGTACCCTGCCAGCCAATTGATCAGAGGCTGGTAGAAAAGCGAGAGGGCGCTTTGCAACTTCATACATTGCAGCAACTGTTACCAAAGGCATAGTTAGTTCAACTTTTGATGTCCTCTGTACCCTAGAACTTATTTCACATACTTTTTAGGTGGGTCTGGTTTGAAGTCAATAGGAATAATTATCCCATCCCTACTTAACCAAACCTTTTTCCCCTGGCATTAATTAAAACATAAATCTACATGTGTGTGACTTATAATTATTTAATCCTGGAAGTGCAGTCAGAGAAACAGTAGCAACTAGTCTTCTGTGTGAAGACATTCTGAGTTTGTGATATAATAAACAGACTGGACATAATTCCAGAGTACATCCACTTTTCTTTTTTTTTAGGTGATGCTGAGACTGGATCAGACGCCAAGCAGCCGCCTGTTAAATCCTTTTGGAAATGTGCTTTCTCCATGTTATTTTTCTGGCACTTGATATGGCTGTCAGTGATGCAGCTGCGCCATTACCTCTTCATTGGCACCCTCAATCCCATGCTGACGAAACTCGCAAATAAGGACGCCAGCCTCGGTACTGAGGGAACCCAAAGAATTGTGGGGAGGGAAAGTGGTCCTTGGGGAAGAGGAGAGAATAGGAAAAGATACATAATGGCTAATAAATTTAAGGTAAATGAGAAGCAAGCAATAAGAAAGACGACTACGAAAAATGAATAGGGACAGTTAAAAGAAGTATTGACTGGGGCAGCAAATGGAAAATATGGGGGGGGGGAGAAACCTGCCAAAGGACACTGCTTTACAATGGAAGGGTGAGCCAGAGTCCCATCAGCTTACAGCAAGTTTTTTTTTGTGGTCAAGTTGTGGGGGGTTTTTTTGTTTTTACTTTTTAAAATAATTTGGGGAGCATAACAGAGTAATTTCAGTTCCTTTCTGTCCTTAATTTGCCACACAAAGCCTAGTTCAATCTTTGAGCAGATGGAAATTGCATATTCCTGCCTTATAAGAAGTATGCAGCTGCTGGGTCCTCATATCTCACTAAACCGTGATATGCTTGGTTTTGCCTGAGTAAGTTCTGGAATCCAACCATTTTTCCTCCAAAGAGAGTGCTTTCATATAATCATGGCTTAGCACAGTGTTTCTCAACCTTGACAATTTTAAGGCATGTGGACTTCAACTCCCAGAATTCCACAGCCAGCATTGCTGGCTGTGGAATTCTGGGAGTTGAAGTCCACATGCCTTAAAATTGTCAAGGTTGAGAAACACTGCGCATAATGTGCAAACCTTTTAAGTCCCAGAAAGAAAGTTTTCTCCTAGAATATGTCACATGTTCCACTGTTCTGTTTTATTTATGTTGCCCCCTTTTCTCCCTTCCTGGAACAAAAGGCACGTGATTTCTCTTCCAAAATGTTGTTCTCTCCTGAGATGATGGGGTCAGGATGTAATCAAACATAGCCTGAGGCCTGCCCTGAAAGCTTTTCTCTGTCTTCGAGCAGAGATAAGCTGCTGAAATAAGATTTAAATTGTGTCATTTTAAAACTCAGATATGAATAATGGCAGAACTCCGCTGTTGATTGCTAGATAGGACCGGCCAGCAAGCTGAGAGAACTACCAGCCTCCTTTCGTATCACTCTTGTTAGAGGCTTTGTTCCATATCCAAAGGGAGAGCTTTTCTGAGAACTGGATGACCAAAGAGTCAAAACCTGAACACATTCTAACCTCATTTAAACACCTACAATGAGTTTCAGAAATAAAAAAAATACCATTGCATTGGGGAAGTTGCCTTTGGAATGACACTGCAGTTATCTTTGATCTTCCATGTCTTTTTTTTTTTAATCCACAGTGAGTAACTACACCAATGCATTCGCCTTCACACAGCTCTGTGGAGTCCTCTGTGCCCCTTGGAATGGGCTTATTCTTGACTGGCACAAACACAGGCAAAAGAAGGGAGAAGGTCATTCAGGTATGCTCTTTGAATTGTGGGGATTTAGCTTCCAGATTAGATTGCCCTGCCAAAACTTTGGTGCTTGGAAGTTCTCCTTGGCTGAATTCTCTCTCTTCATTGCAGGGGCACCAGATCCCGTTGCTGATCTCCGTTCTTGTATCCTGTCCCTGTTCATTACAGTGTTACAGTGCCTGGCCTTCTCCATCTGTGCTTCCATTCCTGTGCTGCCTGTGCAGTATGCCACATTCATCTTACAAGTTCTGAGCCGTTCCTTCCTCTATGGAGGCAATGCTGCCTTCTTGGCTATTGCGTAAGAGAAATTGGGAAGAAAGACTTGGGAGGAATGGGGAGAGGAAGGGAAGACTATTGTTAAGCATGACGCAGAGTTATCACAGGGGATTATGAATTCTGATGAGGAAAAATGTCGTCAGTCAGTCCTTGTCTATTGGACGTTCCATCTGTGCCTTTTCCAATTTGCATGTTTTCACCGCTAATATAAACTGCTAATAAAGGTTAAGATTTCCTCCTGTGTGCATTGCAACTGGCGTGCCCAATTCTCCTCCCCTCTTCTTGCTTTAGAAAAAAGTTCTGCAGTTCATAACATAACCATAACACCCATTTTTTTAGATTTTTAGAGTTCTGTTAAGATACCCTTCCAATCTTTATTGAACACTTTATTGGGCATTCTGTTTTTTCAAATGTCTAATAACATAGATGAACTATGCTAATAACAAGTGGAGACATGACAGCAGTACTTACACTAACTTATGTGGAAACAGGCATGAGGCTAGATCAGTGATGGCGAACCTTTTAGAGACCGAGTGCCCAAACTGCAACCCAAAACCCACTTATGCATCGTCGGGTGCCGGGTGGGTGTGGCCCATTGGCTGGGTGTGGCCCATTGGGTGGGTGTGGCTGCAGTGGTAAAGTCAGACTGGGTGGGATTAAAAAGTTCAATCAATCAATTCCAACTTTGCAAGACCTTTTTTTTCCCACGAGAAGTTGAAATTGACTGATTGAACTTTTTTTTTTTGCACACGGTGGTGGAGGCCTAAAGCAAAAAGGTTTTATAAAACCCAGCTGAAGGCCTAGGACTGGGGTGACGGCGCGCGTGCCCACAGAGAGGGCTCTGAGTGCTGCCTCTGGCACCCGTGCCACAGGTTCGCCACCACTGGGCTAGATTATTTCCTGTTATTTGTATTTTGCAGTGAGAACTGAATCACCAAGGAAGAAAGTACACTTCTTGGTTCAGTCATATCAAAGCCTGGGCCTTTCCCCAGAGATATCAATTAATTAAATCTATTGATATATATTTTAATACAAGTAGTCCTTGACTTACAACCACAATTGAGACCAACATTTCTGTTGCTGAGACATTTGTTAAGCGAGTTGTACTCCATTTTATGACTTTTCCCTCCCACAGTTGTTAAGTGAATCAATGCACTTATTAAGTTAGTAACACAGTTGATAAGCGAATCTGGCTTCCCCAATGATTTTGCTTGTCAGAAGGTGATCACATGACCCCCCCAGGACACTGTAACCATAAATTTAGTCATAAATATGAACTAATTGTTAAGCATCTGAATTTTGATCATATGATCATGGGGGTGCTGTAACGGTTGTGTGAAAAATGGTCATAAGTCACTTGTTTCAGTGATGTTGTAACTTCGAACGGTCACTAAATCAACTGTTGTAAGTTGAGGACTACCTGTACTGTATGTGAATACCCAAATGTCCTTCCTTTTTTTATCATTCTTTTGTATGAGGGAGCCATGAAACACTGAAGTAGGTTCAAACAAATGCTCTACCTACCTCCTTCATCCTACTAGGGATGCAGAAAGATCAAGAAGGGAGGCTCAGAAAAAGGTGAAGAGCAGTGGCAAGTTGCAATAAAGGCAACAATGAGGAAAAGTCACTTAAAAATGCCGAGCTGATTTGTTCCATAACTTCCCTCCTGCTCACAATTTGTTTTACAGTTTTCCCCTTGAACACTTTGGGAAACTCTATGGTCTGGTGATGGGACTGTCAGCTGTGGTGTCCCTTCTACAGTATGCCTGTTTTGCACTGATCGAAGGCCCACTAAAGGGGGATTCCTTTTATGTAAGTATTCTGTATCCCTTTCCCTGTCGGGATGTCAACCATACCCCTGGCTACGGGGTGTTAGGATCCAGGATACATTGCTTGAAAGACTTTTACTAGCTTGGGGAAGTGACCCAAATTCTATTGGAATTATTTTGGTTGAAGGTTGGGTGTTTTCATTCTTTCTCCATCTCTCCTTCCAGGTTAACATTGCCTTCATAGTGTTAATGTTTCTGGCTTTTGTCAATCCTTTCACCGTGTGGCGGGAATGTAAGCTACGAGAGAAGGAGCAGGCTGCAAGAAAGCCAGGCCTGGAGTCTTCCATCTGAGTCCATCCCAGTTTAGACTTTGGGAACCTCACCTAACAAAAGGGGCCCTTACAAAGGCCTACGTGGGAACAAACGTTGTCTCTTTAAATCTCACAGCAGCAAAATAGGTCACAGTCCCACATGATCAGGTGCTCTTAAGTCCTTCAAATTAAAAGGGTTTAACTGTGTCTAAATTTGGGCTGGATTACTAATTCCATGTTTCAAAACCAGATTTAAATACAGTACCCAGTCTCTTTCTCTCTCTCCAGTATTTTATAGAAATTAAAGCCAGATTCGTAACTTGGGGGGGTTGGATTTAGAATATATTTCACTGTTATGTATTTTGTTCTTTTTCAGAGATCTATTTTTGTGGATTGTATAAAATTTTAGTATAGAAGCCAATTTATTTTTTTTTCCACTTGAAATGTTTAATGAACCAGAACCTGTATTTTTAATGCAACAATATTTTAACCTCCCTTTAAACTTTTGAATATATTGAGAAATCTTCTACTCTCTAGTTTTTAATTATTTAAATATTATAATACTTGTTTCTAATAAACTAAACTACACGCCAGCTTTGAAGAACAAACAAACAAACCAAAAATTAAAGCCCAGGAGTAGCAGGAGAAATTAAGCCATTAAAAAAAATGAATAAAAATCTATCATAAAATCAAGTGTCAGTCAATGAAAGCTATAAGGGCAGGGAACAGGCTCTGGATGGTTTTTTTTTAAATAATTGGACCTCAAACATCCAATGTTAAAACAATATCAAAAATTAGAGGAAAGTCGGAGTCCATGAATGCTATATACAGTATTCTGTATTCTGTATTCTGACAGAAAAGCAAAAGATTAAAATCTCGTTGCTCAGGCTTAGGAACCCAGGATCTTCACTTTGTTTTTTTCCATCTCTAGACACAGAATTCGCAATGTGGCTTTATACATCACGGTCAAGCTCCTCACAAGGAACACAGTGGAGTCAGTTACTCGATCAAAAAGCTGCCCCACCCCACCCCCAATGATTTAGCCTAGACTAGGGGTCTTCAAACCTGGCCCTTTTATGACTTGTGGACTTCAACTCTCATAATTCCTCAGCGAGCAATTCATAAAAGGGCCAGGTTTGAAGACCCCTGGCATAGACTGTGAATCCTATCACATGCTGAAAAACTCCTGCAGAGTGGGAGTTGTCCCATACCACAATTTACAGTCTGTCAACTACTGTAAACTCAGTTATTTTATTTTGTGGCTTCTGCATTGGAAAGAATAGGCATGGAAAGGTGTATCTTTCACCCTTCAGGTAAAGATTGGAGACGCTGACTCCCTGCCATCCCCACCCCATGTCTCCACATCTTAGAACATTCTTGAAAGCAATTTACAAATTAATTTTGGTGCAGTCAAGAAGCAAAAGCAAATGGGCGTTACTTTCCATTGGGACCCAATTGCTAATCCAATGGAGTGCAGTATATCAAGGCTCTGTTACAATACTTGTCTTCTACGTTTTCATTCCCTTGAGAGGGTTAAGCCAACTCTGTCTTCTGATAAACAGAGATAGAATTCAAAGTTCTATCAGGTTTTTTTTTAAGTTGGAAACAAATACCTAGCAAAACAGTGGCCATTGTTTCTTTGATGTTTTGCTCCCATCCTTCATTTTGGAAGGAGGTGAAAGATAACCAAACACTTCATTCCAAGACGTAGAGGCTTAGAAATGTTTCCACAATTATTTATGGCCGAAGAAGAGAGATGAGCTAGTCCATACAAGAAGATGGATGCAATGGAGTGTGGTGAAAACATTGCGTTGGTGTATTTTGTAGTTCTTTCACAGGAATGGCAGCTGAGAAAAATTGTTTTGACTCTTTCTTCATGTCTTAACTCTCAGAGGTAGAAAATTAGTTAGGATCTTCCCTGAAACATATCTGACTCAGAAAAATCCCCTGCTGACCTACTGGACTGTTTCCAGATGGATTTGAACCTTATACAAGCAAACAAAGGCACAATGCAGCTAGTCCAGTTTTTCCACTTCTAATAAACTGGAAGAAGGGGGAAACACAGAGCATTAGAAGAAGCTGTATTCTTAATGCTGAGTAAACATTCTATGAATGAGGCAGAGTAGTTGCATCATGAAAACCTCATCTAGAGAAGACCCTTGTATGTTCTCCAGAAGCATCTCTTCATTTACCCCTTAAATTATACCTCTAAATAACCAAGTCTGAAGTTCTTCACTTCAACAGAGTTTATCCATTGCATAGTGCCAAGGTTTATTTAACTAAGAGTTGTTGAAAAAGCTGCAATTGGTACTAAGTTGTAAATCACAACAGCTGGGTGTATGTGATATGCTAAGCCAAAACTGATAAAACTACATGTTGCCTTATTCTGATAGATCAAACTGGTCATACACTACATCAACCAGCTAGTTAGATCTTCTGAATGTTTAGATGAGGCTTACTCATAGATACAATGGATCTGTATCTTTCCAAATGTTTTATTGTGATGTGCAACTTTATTCTGAATAAAAGTGTTTTTCCTGTGAGCCCATTATGTGCACTTTCTTAAACATTGGACATTAATTTGAATTGACTTCATTGTACAGTTGCTTTCAATCTCTTTCAAAATAAAATGTATGCATTGTAATTCTTAACCTACTTTGAATCCAAACTGGCCATCTGTTTGTCTGGATAGATGGTGCATCAGGAGATGAAGTTCAAAACAGTCTAGGTTTGGCATGGAGGGGAAGAGAGGAATAAAAAACAGTGAAGGATTCTAGATCAGAGTGCATACTGCTTTTGATGTTAAAATGTTATATCTTCCCCTCCTTTAGGTGACCTCTATGTGACCTCAAGCCTGTTGGTTTCTTTTTTTAGTTAATCAAGTTTATAAGGCTTTCAAGTGCTGGTTGCTTCAGGGGAAAAAAACCATTCCCTATTGTGCATTCAAAATTTATTTAAACTGAAGTTCTCATTATGTTGTCTAATTATTATCTTCTGTGGAATTGATAATATATACAGTACTGTAAACTGTTATTACAAGGGCTACTTTTCATACTAGAAACTAATGAAGTAATAGCTTCAGAAATACAGGCAGTTTAAAGTAAATGTTTCTGGATTAATTTGGGACTATTTTGAAATATGCTTTTCTCAGTTTGGACATTTTGGTTTTAATTTAAAGGCAGTTGGCTAACAGTGGGTATGCCTGTTTATGTCTATGCTACTTAATATGGTATTAATTAGTTCTCTAAATTAATATATAATTTTAATATGGAAACTGAAAGCAGATTCATGTATTCTAATACAGCCTAGATGTGTATACCACCAATATGAAAAATATGTGTTTTTTTAGGAGCTAAAGACAGAATCTGCAAAACCTCTGAATAATTATCTCAGAACTCCTATTTTAAAAATTAAACATGAAATCACAAGCTTATGCTCTTTCATGAGATGGAATGGGAGAATAAAATTGACAAAACTGTGCAAAATTCAGTGATTTTCTAAAAAAGATAGCTTTTTTCATTTTTAGTCTACCCATAACAATATGTGATAGTGCTTATCATCTGAAAAGAGATTAGCCCCTGATTAATATATTCTCTGTAATATGCCTCTGCATATAATGTCACTCATGCTTCCTTTGTGTAATTTTAGTCTCTATATTAGGGCACCCCTGAGTGCTGTGTTGGCCTAGCGGTGAAGACACTCTCCTTTCACTCAGAAGGTTGAGAGTTCAATCCTAGGTAGCGACAGTTGTTTCTCCACTAGGGCTCAAAGAAAAAATATCTACTGCAAACTCTGTGTGATGTCAGGAAGAGCATCTGACCAATAAATGCTCAGCTCCATCCATTTCAGGGTCGTAAAAAGGGAGTTTTTATTAAGGCATGCCTAGACCACCAGGTTCAGATCAAATCCCAGTTAGCAGTTTGGATAATAATCTGCTTTACCTTCAATTCAATTCAATCCTGAGCACAAATTCAGGTCTTGCCCTTGTAGACCAATGGACTTTTCCACCCTGCTGCCTTAAGTTGTTTGACTCCCATACATAAACTGGAAATCAAGCCAGCTAAGAACTCCTTTTCCAGATTGTAATGACTTCATGTGTTTAGAGTAGACCATAGCAATAATTTAGTGGTCTCTCTAGACCATGCTTACTATGCCCCACAACTGGTAGATTCTTTAGCCTCCCCAGCTAAACTGAGAAAGCAAGCACATGTGGTTTTCATTGATAGAACTTTCATCTGAACTCTGTTAAAAATCAATTTAACTTGATTTTTGCAAATAGTTTGCTTTTTTGCCAGTCTACTTGAAAAATATATAAAAAAGAGGTTCAGCAGCCCAGGACAAAATGGCGGGACAAAATGGCTTGCAGGGCAGCAACTGATGACCTGGGTGGGGATGGAGAGGATTCCTGCCACAGTGCACAGGAGCCATTTAGAGTGCAAATCTTTTATGCCATGAAATAAAACAGAGCAGGTGAATCAGATAGCCCTTCTTGAACTACCCCAAATCAAAGAAATATTATATTTTATGCATAGCAGAAAAAGATGGCTAGAGGTTGTCTTCCTGATTGGTTGGGCACTCAGAGCCGCCTGAACCATGAAATGGGCAGCAAATAAACTTGATAAATAAATAAATAAATAAATAAATAAATAAATAAATAAATAAATAAATAAATAAATAAATAAATAAGTAAGAAGATAACATTCCACGTTCCTGCTCCCAGGAGGATACTGGGATTAATATTCGATGCTGGGGCAAAACTGAACATGTGGATCAGCCCTATGTATAACCCATTGACTCATACTGGAATTAACAAATGTTGCTTTGAAGCAATAGAAAGAAAAAACGCAATAAAAGGCAAGTAAACAATACATGTGATGCAAACAGGAGTAGAAACAGGCAATAAAATCCTGTATTTTCTGGCCAGATTCCACAAAATCCAAACTAAAAAGCTTTAGTTTACCTTTCTCTGATTTTGAAAGAGGCTAGCGAAGAGCACAGAATCTGGAATAATCTTGCGATACATTATTTTGACATTTCTCCCACAAAGCATCATGACTGCAAAACCCTAATAAACTATTTACTTTCATTAGAAGCTCTTTCTGTCAGTTGGAAACATTACATCCTTCTTTCTCTCCTCCCTACCACTTCCTGGAATTTGGATTGTTTTGCAGATGAAGCACGAATATATCTTTCTGAATTTCAAATCACTAATAAAGCTTTGTGAGAATCCTGTCTTCGTTGGAGGACTTCAGCTTCAGTTTAAACATCTGAATCTATCTGAATCATCCTCATATAGTTCTGGAAATAATTGAATTCACTGTGTACTGCTACTGCTCTGTATTTCTGCTTCTCTGAAAATGAACATTTGGTGTCGTGGATCAGCCTGCTGAAAGGACACTTCCAAATCCACAGTGGACATGGTCAATGGGAGAATCCATACCTGTTCTGTAAAGTGAGGGGTCTGAGGCCATAGCATTTGGAAGACATGAATAAAAGAAACCCTTAGGGAGAAAGCTAGGAAAACTGGACCAGAAGCAGTGCTGAGGGTTGCAGGAGTCTATACTGGTATTCTGGAGAAGAATCATCTCTTCATGTTTGTAAGCAAAAGGCCAAATTTAATGGTAGGTTTTTTTCCCAGGCATGTCTTGAAAAGCCCCATGTCTGAAAACATTGGAAACTTACTGCTAGTCAGTATGCAGTATGATTGAACAAGTTAGAAAGCAGCTTTCTGTATTCCTTTTGGATATCTGAGACTTAAATGCAGGACTCTGCTTTCCTCTGCTTTTATCTTTGTAAATCAAACAGGAAGTCTATATGGAATTAGGGAGTCTGTAACAACAGAGCCTGGGAACAAAGGCAAATGTTTGAATATTTACAAGAAATATTAACCATTTTTCCCTAGAGTCTGACAGTTTGCAACGCAATGGAAAATTCAAAGTTGTTCTTCCTCATATAGCTTGTTTTCCTCCTCTATAGGGCAATATGTCATCTGAAAATAACTGAAAATGACCACTTGCCCCTAATATATCTGTCTCTCTCTGTGTGTGTATTTGTTGTCTGATTACAAATGGCAGTTCACCCCAATTGCCTCATTGTTTCTGCTTAGGAGTGCAAGTTATACACTTTTGGTGATAGACAAAATTTGTTTTAGTTTTATTAGCTTCTGCTTAGAACTTTTCTGGATTATTATTTCTTCAATTAATACATTGTATTAATACTTTGTTCAGATTTTAGAGCATTCTCTCTTTTAGTGAATGGGTTAGTAACAGGTTTTGGTATTTCCCACTGCTTTCCAGACGTCTGAAGAAGCAACGGACTTCTGGCTTTATAAGACATGACAGGTATTTGGTTAAGATGAGGAAAAAGTCAAAGTGGGAAGAATAACAAGCACTTGATAAAAGGGTTAAAAAAAATAAGCCATTTCCTGAACCACAGTTTGTAAAAAGAAGACTCAAGGTGAAGGCTATATCGCAAGGCAATGTCCATGCAGTGATCAGCACAGATAATTTATTTGTATCTGCTTCAAAGTTCCTATTTATTAGAGCCCAATTGAGTAGGCCCCTGAATCAGTTGATTGCTTCTCCTCACAGCGGCCTCCCAACGTTTGGTCACTTCTATACACAGAGCTGCTAGGAATGGCGGGACGCAGAACCATTTCTGATACCTGGTAAGAAAGACATTGAGACCTGTTAATGCTAGTCCAATCTGAATATCTGTACCCTCTTTATTTAACCTGAACTATATACTTGCCCCATATATTCCTGACTTTTGGACTTATCTGACCTTAATATCTTATCCTTCCTCCAAAATGCTCAGGATAGCACATGTGCTTTTCCCATGCCTTTTTTGTCCTTCCTAAGTATCTTTTGAGTTGGTTTGGGATCAGGGATAAGGTAAGGTAAGGTAAGGTAAGGTAAGATAACCTTTATTGTAATTTTTTATTGTGGGCACGACACACATCAAAAATGAAATTTAGTTGCCCGCTCTCAAAGTGAACACATACATGACACACACCTAAACTTACTATATATAACATCTACATACTATATACAACATATGTGTAGACCTACACAGTGCTTTTTTTGTAAAAAAAAAAAAAAAAAAAAGGTGCCAGAACTCACACACGTCATACAATCCACCTTGCCTACCCTCCAAGGTTTACCTTTGTAGTTGAAAAAAAATCCCTTCAATGCTTAGTGTATCTAAAAGACTAGGATTTTGTTCAAGGCAACTCTGAAAAATCTGTCAAAAAAAGCCCTGGACCTACACCCCTACATGTACATAACATATGAATATTAAACACTGTCCATCTTGAATATATAACGAAAGGAGGAAGCTTTGGTGTGCAACGGAAAAGAATCTCAGATCTAAGCATTTCCACCATGCCGTACTGACATCTCTGTAACCTTAATAAATGCTTTTAGGATAAAAATATGCCTGAAAGTCCTTTTAAGTGTTTCGTTAATCAGACACATGACACATATGGCAAAATAGGGATTTTAACCTGGTTCTCCCAGGTTCTTCCTACTTTTTTTCAATTCTGTCGTTTGCTGCAGGGAATTTTGAAAGACAGTTGGACAGATCAAGGAGGTTGAATTTTGAAAGACAGTTGGACCAAGTTATGGAGGGCTACTCTAACCACTATGGAAAATTTTCCCTTTTTATTTTGTATTTTATATTTTTTGAAATTTAATAAAGTGGAAAGTTGATTTAAAAAGCGAAGGTCACACTAATCTCGTATTAAGAAAAGGGAGGCCCTTTGTGTAATTTTGTGTAATTTTTACGTAAGTTCTTATGCAGATTCTTTGCTTTATCTTGTGCCAGAATAATTTTACATAATTCTCAACAAATTCAATGATTTAGCAGTTTTTGAAATGCAGGAGAAGCATTGCTTTAAATAGATTATGATACACTAAGCAGACTTCTTGTGTCATCTGAAATTCTTTAGAGGAAGTATAATAATAACGTGGAATGCTTTATGTATCTATTTTTTCTTAACCTAACTAAATCGCCCCATTTAAAGATATTTCTTTGTTTTTTAAAGTAGTTTTATTATACTATACCCATCAGTAAAAGAAAGCTTCCCTCTACATGACTCCTTTAAAAAATAAGATGTTCTGTTAATATATTCAGTGTAATCCTGCATGTCTAATCAGATGTGAGATTTGCTTACTTAAGTAGCACTTAACTCTCTGATAAATGAGTATAAAACTGTAATTTTCCCCTTGAATCTGTTTCTCTCTGATTTCTAATTCCATAAGAATTCAGCTATTGAATAATTCAGCATTAAGGATTCAGTAAATATTTTTGAAAGTGTGTCTGATGGGAAGTTTTCTGATAAAATATATTTTGAAGGCATTTTTGCTTGCCTGAATTTGAAAGTTCCCTTAGCCCCTGTTTGTTTCCTCCCTTGTGTGACTTTTTTATTTTATTAAAAGTTTAATTTAAAAGCTTAGGAACTGTTATGGAAAAGCACCAGTCTTCAGTAATATTTTTATAAAGTTAAGCAGGGGCAAAGTCAAACGCAGACAACAGGGAGAAACTAGCAATCGCATTCTGTTAAATTGGTTCTTCCTTAAGGGGCTGCATGCCCAGAACAGGGCCTGCTAGATCACAAACACGGTGATCCCTAGTCTAGATTAAGAAAAATGAGACGCAGTACTAGGCTTCAAAGCATGAAGCTCTCATCACCTCTTAGTTTTCTACATTTGCAGACTTTTTTTAGAGCATCCAGATCTGTTTTTCCTCACTATTATAGAAACCCAAAATTAAGGATAGAACAACAGATGTTCTACTTAAATTAGATTGCTTTGTGGAACACAATGGATCGCAAACAAGTGACTCTCAGAAGCCGGTGCAAAACTCCAACTCTGATCCCTCAGAAGATGCTATCAAACTGAAATTTCTGGTGTGACTAAAGAAAAGATCATTTCACACAGGGGGAACAACTATAAGTGTAATGATCCTTTGTAATTTAATTTTAATTAGAGTTAAATGTCTGTTATATGAAAGAGAATGTCTAGTAGTTTTCACCCTGTCCACATTTACAGTATTCCTGGTACACCGTTCAAATGTTTTAGTTGTTACTTCTAAGAGCATTTTTGTTCCTATTCTTGCTCTTATGCTTTGAAAGCCATTATGGCAGTGGTGGGATTCAAATATGTGAACAACCGGTTCTCTGTATGGATGCCACTTCCGGAAGTCCATTTTGGGCCTGGGCAACAAAAAATTAGCTACCGGTTGTGCCGAAGTGGTGCGAACCGGCTGAATCACACCACTGCATTATGGTAAGAACCAGGCACGTATACAATACATAAATGCCTAATCAAAGCTGAATCTGGCAGGAAGAGAGGGGAAATAGCCAAAGTAGGTAATGATGAGGAATTAATTAATTAATTGGAAAAGAAAATAGATTTTTTCCCCCCTTCATGGAGTAATTCTAGAGAAGAGACTGTCTTGCATAAGGAAAGACAGGAACAGAAAAAAAAATTCTTAAATAAATAAAGACGGCATGTTTGGTCTTCAGTTGCTTGGCTGGGCTCCTTTATTGGATATCCTTGAAACTTTTTTATGAGGCTGCCAAAAATCCAAGTGGGAGCTTGGATAATGGCTGTTCTTCAAGAGGATTATAGTTCCAAGTCTCTGAAATGTGCCAAATTGCTTTCTTCTATAATAGCAGAATAAATTATAATAATAGCCCCAAGTGCACATTTCAGTTTAAAGGTTTTTTTCCCCCCAAATCTGAACTGACTATGTTGTGCCACATGCTGCCTCTTGTTTGCAGAGAGATCCTAGGAAGCCTAATGGTATATTTTGCACAGATTTACCTCTTCAAATTTCTTGGCCTTATACTGATCGGCACCTTTCAGGAAGTTGAGGAGAATGATGTCACATAGGACTGTCCCCTGAGGTGAGAAGAAAACAGGTGATATGGCTAGGCTAAATGCTATAGTGGAAGGCATAACTGATAACACATACCGTATTTTCCGGCGTATAAGACGACTTTCTAAACCCTGAAAATCTTCTCAAGAATCGGGGGTTGTCTTATACGCCCAGTCGTCTTATACGCCGGAAAATATGGGTATTCTATTTTATTCCTTTACACATGTGGTTTGGCATATTACTCATCAAGTTTACTCTCCCCCCCCCTCTCTCGCTCAAACTCTATATTTTAACTGGAAAAGTTGGGGGTCGTCTTATACGCCCAGTCATCTTATACGCCGGAAAATACGGTACGTGCTGATATTATACAATTTTACACATTATAAAATGTTAAATTTCCTAGAAGCCAGAATACTTTCTGCCCGGGAAGAAATCCAATTATATTGAAGGTTCTGCCAAAGCACGTTCTTTAATGCCCTACACAAAATTTATGGCACAATCAGGATAAAAGATGTACCATATATATATATATTCATTTTTTGCATTCATTTTTCGATTTTAAGAAGAATAGAAAATTGTCAGAAAGATCAGAACTGCAGTAAACCATTTTTAAAAGTTGGTTGCAAAATTTGCTGTTAATTTTTATCTACCCATTTATTTATTTATTAAACTTTGATGCTGCCCATCTCACTGGTACAGTATTTCTTAACATCTAATATATTATTTCACATGTTTAACTTCGAGGTATCAGTGGATGCAGATACAGGTAGTCCTCATCTTACGACCACAATTGAACCCAAAATTTATGTTGCTAAGTGAAATAGTTGTTAAGTGAGCTTTGCCCCATTTTATGACTTTTCTTGCCATGTTTGTTAAGTGAAACACTGCAGTTATTAAATGAGTAACACGGTTGTTGAGTGAATCTGGTTTTCCCATTGACTTTGTTTGTCAGAAGATTGGAAATGTGATCACGTGACCCCTGGACACTGCAACTGTCATAAACGTGAGTCAGGTGTCAAGCATCCGAATGTAAATCACGTGACCATGGGGATGCTGCAATGATCATAAGTGTGAAAATTGGTCATAAATCAGTGCCGTTGTAACTTCGAATGGTCATTAAGTAAACTGTTTGTAAGCTGAGGACTACTTGTAATCAGAGAGTAAACAGAGAGAGATTATTTTTATTTCTAATGAGTTAAGAATTCAGAAATAGCAATAAGCACTTAGACTGATATACCGCTTCACAGTGCTTTACAGTCCTCTCTAAGCAGTTTACAGAGTCAGCATATTGCCCCCAACAATCTGGGTCCTCATTTTACTAACCTTGGAAGGAGGGAAGGCTGTGGAGGCAAGGCTTACCTTTGGATGACTAAATTTTCTATAGAAAAGGTGCCATGTCTATCTTTTCTTTCAAATGACTCTGTTGCATTTAGTACACCCTTAATATGTAAAGTCATGCCAAGTAGCCAAACATGCCAAAAAGTTGTGTTTTCTTAAGGTTTAAGGAAACTTTCTTGGAGATACAGCTTAGCTTAGCTTTGAAAACCAGACACCTTTTAACAGTGAGCCAAACTTATGGAAGAAACAATGGAAGAAAAAAAGCTAACAGAACGGAGATAAAAAGCTGAGTTAGACCAAAACACTTACCACCCCGACAGATGTGAAAGCAGCCACACAGTTGATTAGTGTTGGTATGATATTAAATTTTCCAGCCTGAGGGAAGATAAGGCAGAGTAAGCAAACAGAAATAAGTTCGCCTAAATGAATGGGGGATGGGGGAATTGGGGGGGTAGGGCAGTTGGTACGTGTGAGTAAGCAGCTGTGGCCAAATGCTGCCTCTTGTTCTGTCTTTTGTGAAATGGCTTTTCTGTCCATTCATGGAATACAGGTAGTCCTCAGCTTACAACCATTTGTTTAGTGACTGTTCAAAGTTATAACAGCACTAAAAAATGCTGACATGACCAGTTTTCACACTTATGACCATTGCAGCATCCCCATGGTCACATGATCAACATTTGGGATGCTTAGTGATTGGCATATATTTATTACGGTTGCACTGTACCCAGGGGTCATGTGATCACCATTCGTAACTTTCCCAGCTGGCTTCTGACAAGCAAAGCCAATCGGGGAAGGCAGAGTCACTTAATGACTGCATGATTCATTTCACAATGGCAGTGATTCACTTAACAACTGTGGCAAAAAGAGTTGTAAAATGGGGGCAAAACTCACTTAACAACTGCCTTACTTAACAATGGAAATTTTGGGCTCAGTTGCGGCTGTAAATTGAGGATTACATGTATTGCTTCCTTTTATATCCTCTCATGAAACAGCCACAATCCTGGCTCACATACTCTTAAAATTGTAGCCTCAACCTGCAACCATTCATTTAGTAATGTTTACTTACAAAAGCACTGAAAAAAAGTGATCTACGACTGATCCTTGCAGTTATGACTGTCCCAGCATCCCCACACTTACATGATGAAAATTGGGGTACTTGGCAAGCGGCATATATTTACCATGGTTGCAGCATCGATGGTTGTAATGTGACTGCTATTGCAACCTTCCCAGGTAGCTTCTGACGAGCAAAGTCAGTGGGGGTAAGATGGATTTGCTTAACAACCGTGTGATTCCCTGAACAATCATAGCAGGAAATGTCATGAAATCGGCAAGGACTCATTTAACAATCACCTTGCTTAGCAATGAAAATTTTGGCCCTAATTGTGATCATAAGCTGAGGACTACCTGTATTCCAGAGGGCTATTTTCACTCTGTGGGTGCTCATTTCCTATTACTTCTCAATAATCTATCCTTTGTACATAGCAGAATCATTGTGTGTGGGGGGGAGGGAACAGTTGACTTCCTTCTGAACCTGCAGTTCAGATTGGAAGACTGGAAAGCCTATCTCAGTGATGGCGAACCTTTTAGAGACCGAGTGCCCCAAAACTGCCCTGCCTCTTTCCCCCGTTGCTCCGCCCCGCCCCGCCCGCTCCACCCCGCCTCACTTGCCGGGCCACCCACCATCTCCACGGCCAGCTGCAGATCACTCAGGTGGCCCTGCAGCGCCATGGTGGACACGCCCTCCATCCGCGCCCCATAGCATCATTTGCGTGCGATGGGGCGCGAGGGCGGAGTCTTGTCCCTGCTGCCCAGCTGCCATGTGCTTGGTTGCACTGCTCTACACCCAGGGGTAAGTTTCCTCCGGGGGGGCTGCTGATGAGGGGATGGTAGGGCTGGGGTGACAGCGCACGTGCCCACAGAGAGGGTTATGAGTGCTGCCTCTGGCACGCGTGCCATAGGTTCGCCACCACTGGCCTACCTTCTTACAAAGATTATCAGTGAGTCCTATTGCAAAATGATACCTCCCACAGGCAAGTGACATGGTCCTGGTGCTTGTAAGGTAGATAAAACATCCAGTGCTGTTATATTTCAAAATGCAAACAAGTCCAATGTCTGACTATCTGCAAATAAATCAGTTTTCTCTTTCTTTTTCCTTTGCTTCAGAAACCCCCTGGTAATTTTTCTTTAGCATGACAATGATTTGGGCTATTAGCCTGGATGGCTCGTTTTTGTCATGAAACTGTTTACCACAATTGCAATAGAGCCCTTTCTGCAAGGATGAAATCATGATTCTTTCCTGGAACAGAGTTACAGCAACACAGACGACTGTTTTCAGAAAGTACCGTAAGTTTGGATTCACACTAATTCAGCTGCATGTATTTCTTACGAAAGCAGTGGAGCTGGTAAATATAAGTTATGGCCTATTAATTTCTATAGGACTTTAGGTCTAGACCAGGGGTAGGCAACCTTGGCTCTTTTATGACTCGTGGACTTCAACTCCCAGAATTCCTGAGCCAGCTGGCTCAGGAATTCTGGGAGTTGAAGTCCACGAGTCATAAAAGAGCCAAGGTTGCCTACCCCTGGTCTAGACCTAAACTCTAAACCTTTTGTGTAAATCAAATTCTTCAAATCTTCCTCTGAAGATTGGATCAGGCCATCCACGATTTTGGGAGATTGTAGATGAGATCCCTAGCCCTGCACGCCCCACTTGAAGGTGAATTCTGCAGTTGAAAATGTCAATCAAGAATCTTGATTGCCCAAACAAAATTCTTAACGATGAAACTTATGTATATTAATTTGATTTATCTCACTGAGGTATTTTGCCTTGCTAAGGTGCATCACTTAGTTTGATGAAGCAAAATGCCCATGCAGAAGGAGATGCTCACTCCACCTGTTAGATGTAGGGAGGATGAACTTTCTTAGTAGGTTCTACAATGGAAATGTCACCTGTGAAAATAAGCTCTGCCATATTCCATGGTTTAAAAGCGAACATAGTGTTTTGTGGAAAACCTTTGATGGGAGAATGTCTATAGAGATTCTCAGTTATCCAGGTCATGGTTGTCCCAAAGGTGCTATTCAAAAGGCAACTGGACTTTCTTGGGTTTTTTTTCCTTGAAAACATTTAGCTTCTCATACAAGAAGCTTCTTCAGTTTTGAAGAGGCTACTTGGATGACAAGCAAAACATTTTCAAGGGGGAAAAAAATCAAGAACGTCCAGTTGCTTTTTGAACAGCACCTTTGTGATTTTGATGGGAGGTTTCACTTGGACTTTGATCCAGCTGAAGTGTTCCTTTAAAGATTGCACAGCTCTAGAGCTTAAGAACATTAAGGAGGCTTTGCTCTCACACTCTTCCTCCATTGGAGGAGGAGGAGGAGGAGGAGGAGGAGGAGAGGAAGAGGAAGAGGAAGAGGTCAGAAGCTACTAATGTGGATGATGAAGGAGGCAGGCCCAGTGAGGGTGGCCCTACAACATTTTTTATACATTTTATAATGATTTGCAGTCTAGGGCACTCAAGAACCAACACCTTTCCAAAAGCAAAAGAACCAGGACTTCTTCCTCCTCCAGATACTTCCTAATTCCCTCTTTTATATTTGAATTCCTCTCCCTCTACACTTCAGCTGCCCTGAGCTCCAAGATGTGCAGGTCTGCCTTGCCTCACTTACATTTCCATATACAAGAACATCAAAGCGAATGCCATATGCCTTCATCAGTGTGCGGAATTCTGTGCCGTTCTCCTGCTTGTAATATTTAGCATATCTGTGGACAAGGAAAAAGGGGTGGGTGTATACGTATGTATGTACAAACACAAATATACACAAAGACCTGGCCTAAGTACTCTGAGAGCAAACATAATTACTTGGGCACATTTGCCATGCAACAGAATGGCAATGAAGAAGTTTTACAAGTGGCTATGGTTTGGGAAGGTACACGTATCTAGTTTAGCATAATAGCCTGGGAGGAAAGATGGAGCTTCCTGTCATGTTCACTCTGTGACAATAGGGCGAATTTAGTGTGCTGCAAGAAAACCACTAGTGTATCAGAAAGGAGCTAATGAAAAGTGCTCAGGCCCAAAGTACACTAAATCAATCCATTAGTCCCTAAGCCCAGGAATAGTCTGCTTAACAGAGACACTTTGGACCTTCAGGCTGGAAAAAATTCCCTGATCACCTACAAGGGTTTTCCCCCCCCGCCATTGGAAGTATCCCAAGACTGAATGGGAAAAGCAAATGGTCCAGGCTTGAATAACCCACCTTCCCATACATTCTCTGCATCTGGATAGAAAAACGAGAGCTTGTACCGGTATGTTATGCAACTTATTTTATGCTTTGCCTGTGATGAAAACCAAAATAAAAAATGGCCTCCTTGTAAGAAATGTCTCTGAGGTGTCTACACAGAAGAAAAGCTTTTCAGCAGATGGAATCTGAAGGATTGTATATTTGTAAATCAAAAGCTAGTACAATTGCAGAGAGAAATCTTAGTTAATCAATACTGCAAAAGGGGATTTCTGTGTACTGCTTTTCTACAGGACTTGCCTGAAATTGTATCCGCTTGAAACTTTGCTCTTTTCGGAGATGCTGTCAAGCCGACTGAAAGAGTAACTGGGAATGCAGTGCTCCCAAGAATGATCCAGATCACACACCCATCCAATCTTGATTCCTATTATCCCACCCTGTGTAGAAAAGCACAGCTTTAGGAGAAATCTCAGGGAGACCCTAGCAATTAAGCCAAAGAAAGAAATCAGCGCTGCTTCTACTCATTAATCACCTAATCCACTGACTGTTCGATCAAACAATCAAGGTCACTGGCAAATAGAAAAAGGTACATTTCTTCTGCATACCTCTAAGATGTGGGGTTCTGCTTATTAATAACTGGTTAAGAATGAGGGGTAATTATTCCACACCAATTAATGCAACATACACTTCTGTATCAAAAAAGTTATCTATTGCTTTCCAGGCAATCCTGTTTTGTCTGCAGTCTCTAGTTGCCATGCTATTCTCTTGGCCTCATTTTGGCCAATGGCTCTCCTATTTCACTATTTATCTCACTGATAATTACATTTATACTTCTAAATTACCATAGAGATTAGAGATCAGCATTTTAGAATTTCAGCCACCCTGTAATTTCCGTCTGACAATGACTTTTCAACAACCCTGAGCAATCTCTATGGCTAACAGGGGATTTGAAAACAAATTTCCAGGCAAACCCAAATGTTGGTTGCTATTCCAGTATGATCACTGTGCAACTGGCATTCTCACCGTCCTTGCCAATGAGGTAAAGTTTTGGCCTGCAAATTTTACAATGTCCCCAAGGCGCAGGATTGGACAGAAGGGTTGCTTTAAAGGGTGGAAGTGGCATTTCTGGATATCTTTTGTTGTGATGTTGGGTAGCAGGTTTCCCCTGTAAAGGAAGCAAAGGGGTGGTTGTGGTCAGAGGACAGAGTAGAGAATGACAATTCTGAACTTGGCAAAATGCATTTTAAGTTATGGGATTTTTCAAAGCCACCTCCTTAGCCTCAATTAGAGATAATACAAAGGTTGAGAGCTCTAGCTATTAAAAACTACCAGCAGTTACCCGAAATTTGCTAGCAGGATACATAAACGGTTTTCTTGTTCACTCAACCCACTTCATAAGTAACATGTTGGTGGGAATTATTGGAAGAGTAGGCCACCCCATTTGAGGAGAAGCAGGGCAAGAAAGACTGATTCCACATCAGAGTGAATTTGTGGCTGCTCTTTACAAACAGACACATAAACAGGTGTAAACGTAAACACATGCCCATTATCCAGCAACTGATTAGATATGTCAATGTATGTTATGTACTGATTTGATGGTCCAGGTGGACTTGTGGAAGTCAGTCTCTATCCATGCTACTTTTCCAAGGGACTTCCTGAAATTCACAAGATCAGGTGGTATTGGTCAGGCAAAATCTTTGCATTAGAGAAGTAATTCTCAGTCCAAGTCCAGCTATTATTTACTGAGAAGTAAATTCCAAGGAGTAGTTTTGGTCTGGGTTAGTGTGTTACCTTACTCACTTTTCAAAATTGAACAGTGGAAAGCGAATACTATTCTTAATGAAGAGAGTGAAGTTTTCAGCTTCTAGCATTACAGGTCTGCAGAGAGAAAAATACTGGTTGAAATCAGATTGAAATCAGGAGTGAATTAAAGAAAAAAATTGTCCTCTGGAAATCTATATCAAACTGGAGAAATTATAAACAGGAAAATCTTAATTTCTCTTTGAAAGCAAGGGTTAATACTCCTGTTGGGGAGGGAATCCCCCCCTTTACCAAGGTTCTCATTTCGGATCTTTGAATTTCCCCACTTTCTGAACTTCTGTTGTCTTGTCTTCTTCTAACTTAGCATTAATCATTTGTGAGGAGCATACAGAGATGTCATTGTAGAGGTCCATGGTCCTTATTGACAAGTAAAAGGGACAGTAGATAGGCATACAAAGCCAACAGCAAAATAGGACGGAGGATCTTTGGCAATACTGAACTTGATTCCTACTCTAAATATCCAACCGTTAGTTCTCTTAAGAAGAAAAACTGGTGCATTGAATGAGGATCTGTAGTCTGTATTACGACCTACATGAAACTCAACACAGTTAGTTGACCCTTCAAAATTTAAAAAAAAAATCTTCAAGCAAAATCATCATTTTTGCCCATAAAGTAATCACACATGGCAATTCCATATAATTATTACAACTAGCTATTGCATTCCACAATTTGTCCAGGTCACACACCAAGAAAATTCCCTTAGTGATAGTGAGGCTGATGTTGAATCCATAGCTTTCCATGTGCACAGGCCATTATCACCCAAGTCCCATTAAAAAAAAAGCTAATAAAAACATATAAGTCAACCCTCCCAGAAGGAACTCTAGATTTCCAGTCAACTAGTTTTACATTCTGGGACTATGTTCCCAACTACAGTATGGCCTATGTTCCCTTTCTGTGAAATAACATAGGCTGCTATAGGTGAGTGCTTACACATCCACGTTGTCCATTTCTGCTGGGCACCAGCCCTGGATCTGACAGGTCCGAAAAGTAGCATTGAAACTGACACATCGACCTGTTAATATTCCTGCAGAAGGGGGAAAAAATGAAAGTCATTTCAATAACTAGATGCCTAATTCACCCCATCGCTTGGGATTCATCTTGACAGCTTGTCTGGGGGCAATTCTGCTTCCGTCTGTCTCATCAGTAGAATGAGGCAGAAAATACTTTTATACCCCTTTTTTTCTAGAAAATGTACCCCAGCAAAAGGCCCATAATATAGCAATAGCAATAGCACTTAGACTTATATACCACTTCATAGTGCTAGCACACACTCTGGGAACGTTACAGAGTCAGCATATTGACCCCAACAATCTGGGTCCTCATTTTACTGACCTCGGAAGGATGGAAGGCTGAGTTAATCTTGAGCCGATCAGGATCGAACTCCTGGCAGTGAGCAGAGTTAGCTTACAATACTGCATTCTAACCACTGATGCACCATGGCTCTCATATATTCATATACTCATCAATAGTGGTACCTAGAAGCCATATTTTTTCTGCACAGTTTAATTTATATTTCTATCAGATTTATCTTTCAAGAGATAAAACGTCTCCCCAATATAAGGATAGCATCATCCAAGTTTTAGAAAATAATTTGTGCCAGAGAGGTAGAAAATGGAGGGGACAATTTGAACCAGAAATAGAATTGGATTGGAAGGGAATTCTGTACAGTAGCCTTTTGTGGATGAGGTACCTTCGGGATGCATAGAGAGAATAGTAGTCTGCAGCCCCTAGAGCAATGGTGGCGAACCTATGGCATGGGTGCCAGAGGCGGCACTCGGAGCCCTCTCTGTGGGCACACGTGCCGTTGCTCCAGCCTTGCCTCCCCCCATGACCCCTTCCTCTCCAGCAGCCCCCCCTGAAGGAGAGTCGCCCTCGAGCGTGGCCCACATGGAGCAGCGCAGCCAAGGACATGGCAGCCAGGCAGCGTAGACAAGACTCTGCCCTCACAGCCCATCATGCAGTTGATGCTGCAGGACGCGGGCAGAGGGTGTGGCTGCCATAGCGCTGCTGGGCTGCCTGGGTGATCTGCGACAGGCCCTGGAGGCGGTGAGTGGTCCTGTGGGCAGGCAGGGTGGGGGATGGGGGGGCAGAGCGGGGGTGGAGCAGGGAGGTGGAGCAGGGGCGGTTTTGGGGCACTCAGTCTCTAAAAGGTTTGCCATCACTGCCCTAGAGGGATCAGAGAATGGGCAACAGACCCTCTTAAAGTCCCTGGATACCCCTACAAATCCCAATGGGTCAGATGCACCATTTTCATTTGCTGGCCGAAAAGTATCAAATTGACATTATCTTGATTCTATTTCAGTGTTCTTTATGTTCCAGTGCTCTTACAGCTCTGTTATCTTTAGTCTCTTAGCACAATATACCGATACAACATACTCATCAATATTATATAAAGCAGAGAAAAGTTGTAAGAAATAGGAAGCCAAGTAAATTAAAGACACGTGATAATAAAAAAAAGAAAAAGTATAGTTAATTTGATTTACATTCTCTATATTTCTCTATAGTTTTGTATCCTTCCAAACCATCCTTGCTTGTTCTATGCCCGTACATTATTATTTTCTTTTTTCAACTTCTCTCTCTCACTTTGAGGATTTGATTAGTTCCAGTCAACTAAAATTTTCACGTTTTTTTCTCTCTCCCTCTACCCATTCACTGTTATATCTTTTGTGATTCAATACTCACTTATTCTTTCTATAGGATTAAACTACCACCAAGTGCTTCTTTTTTAATACTGGCCACTAACTTTTATATTTGATACATATTTATTCTGCACCCATTCATTCTTGACTCCATTTCTTCTTGATTTACCCTAGGATGATCATATGTAAGTACTACATTCCTACTAGATTCAACTTACTTTTATGTTTCTGCTTCATACTTCCATACGACAATATTATAGATACCTATTTTTTATTCTTTCAACAAATATTTGTTTCTTGCTAACAGATTACATGCCATCCAGTGGTGGGATTCAGCCAGTTCACACCAGTTCGGCAGAACCGGTAGCTAATTTTTTGTTGCCCAGACCCAGAATGGACTTCTGGAAGCGGCATCCACACAGAGAACCAGTTGTTCACATATTTGAATCCCACCACTGATGCCATCTACTATCTTTCTACTGCTATTTGAATTTCTTAAATTTTCTCCATTCATTTCAATCTCTTTAGTAAACATTCTGCTGAGGATCACAAATTTATTTATTTGTTCAAGTCTTTTTGCCTTTTATGTATGAATAGCCATTTAATTTTTCCTGTAGTCTAATTGCAGCCTCTGTATTTTTTGACCATGAAGGATGCAATATCCAATTTGATCACCGTGTGTATAGATTTTTAGCTGCTCTGTTAGACAGAATATTACCCAGAACAAAGAACCATAGCAGGGGTTTATTTAAACTAAATTTATTTAAATTTCATTTAAAACTAAATGTGTATATCAATGATTGCATGACCCCTGTAGATGCTATACACTAAATAAATAAGTAATAATATTTTTCCCTGTGAAACATAACCTTCTTGATCTTCAATACAGTACATTAATTTTCAGATGCATGCTTCTCATTGCATTATACAGGCCACCTAACATTCACTGCAAATCATTTGGGTTCTCAGACAGTAAGATGGTATTGTCTGCATACAAAAGTACAGTACATGCATATTCACATCCCAACAACTTCCTTCTACTATCACAAGGATTCCCTGCACGTTCACTCATAAATACATCATTGTCATGCTCCCACCTTTGTAGTGTACCATTTGCTAAGCATTTATTGTCATGCATACTTTCTTCCCTAATATACTGTGCTTATCACACTTAGCAGCCAACCTCCATCTGTATATTTATGCAAAACAATTCCATAATTCAAGCCTATTGTGCTTTCTCTAAACGAATGAATACACAATAAACTTTCTCACATTTTTAGATTTCTTACTAATTTGCTAAAGTGCAAAAATCTGGTCTGCATACCCTTCGCCTAGCGTAAAGCTGCACTGATCTTCCCAGCTTTTACTGTCACCTCTTGTCCTCTTTCAGTCAGAATTCTGCCAAACCCTTTCCCAGGAACATTTAAACCAGTCTTCCTGCAATTTTTGCATTCACTTTTGTTACCATCCAGTTTGTATCAGAAAATGTTTGTGTCATTCTAGCAATAGTCAGGCACACAGTCTTCCCACATGTTGAACAAGTTTCTTAGTCTCCTTAAGCCCCTCCATAATCATACTGGGAATTAACAGATAGTTTATGATGAGCATTTCCCCCCCTCTGTGTGAGATATCTGGCTTACCACCTCCGGTGATGGAGACAGGCTTCTTGCACTCACTATCTGAGGTACACTGGTAATGATGATTATTCTAAAAGAGGAAGACAAAGCGAAGGGCAGAAAGCATGAGAAGCAGAAATTACTGGTCCACTTCCAGGTCACCCCCCCTCCACAATTATTATGTATATATTATGAAGCTGGAAGGGAGTAGCCCACTATTTTGAAAGTCAAAAGCCCACCACTTAATTGTAGCTCAGTGGGAAACACATCCAGTGCATGCAAATTGTTCCCAGGTGAGACTTTCACTTCTTCAGGTATGGCTATTAGAGACCTCAATATGGAATGCCAAAGAGCTGCTGCCTTATTAAAAACAAAAGCAGCTTGCTATAATCCAGCTTCACTCAAGTCATGGCCCTCTGCAGCTTTCTATAAACAATTCCTTGGCAGCATGAAGCAAAACACTAAAGTTTTGAGTCTCCTACCTACTATTACAGTGGTTCTCAACCTTTTTAATGCCGCAACCCCAACCGATCGTAAGTCGAGGACTAAACTGGTCGTAAGTCGAGGACTAAACCGGTCGTAAGTCGAGGACTAAACCGGTCGTAAGTCGAGGACTACCTAACCGGTCGTAAGTTGAGGACTTTCCCTGCACGGAAGCGCCGCACATGCGTGGTTCTGCCCCCTGCGCCAACCGAGGCGTAGCTGGCAAGCGGCAGAGACGGAGCAGGCCGACCACCAGCTGGCCCAGCCCAAGGGAGGTAAGGCACCCGCCGGAAAAGGGGGAAAAAAATGGCAGACAAAAAAAATGGCGGACAAAAAAAATGGCGGACAGCCTTGCTTGGCGACCCCCGTGAAATGGTCGATCGACCCCAAATGGGGTCCCAACCCACAGGTTGAGAACCACTGTACTATTAGAAAGCAGCTCAAAGTCTGTGCAAAGCAGAAGACAGCTACCACCCCTAGCCCCCAATCTCCAGTTTATCTCACTTCCTGCCCTCTTGGTTTACTAACATACCTCAGGGCAGAAGCCTTGGACCTGGTTCTCCGTCACAATGAGTTTGGTAATGATGACAAAGACTGATGTCCCCTGGCAGGTGGACGGATCCAAGAGATGTAGGCAGAAGGGGGGAAAATGTGATGTCAAATATCTTGAATGTAAGAGCATAGAGAAGGCAAATCAACTCCCGATGACTTTTTTCTGCTTGGGGATGATCATAATAGGCCCCTAGCCGTACAACTTTAAGATTTAGGATTAGATTAGAATTTTGAAAACAAAAGCAAAATGTACTAACAATAAAAAGTTCAACAATGAACAGGATTATCAATTGAGGTATGAGCTCTCCCTTACTGGATGTTCTCAAACAAAGATATGGTTTGAGAAAGCATTTCTCTGAGATTCTGAAGTTTGGATTCTTGAACTGAAGAGAGGGCTTGGACTCAATGGCCTACATGACCCCTCCCAATTCTGTGATTTTTAGGACTCCAGAAATGTCCATATCATCCCCCCAATATTTTTCAACACTGAAGCATAAGCAGGACCACTTCCAAGATACAGGGCGTTCCTAGCTTTGCTTGTGTCATTTCCACATTGCAACAGGCAGCTTTGCATTCCATTATTGCACGCCTGTAAAATGTTTCACAACCTACAAGTGTGCACAAAGAAAAATTGCAGATTTCCTAACATGTATTTCACATGCTCCAGAAGTTGAGACTGATTATAGTTTCCAATAATGAACTGGCCAAAGGAAGGAGATGGAGAAACAGCTGCCGTCAGGACATCTACGAGTCAGAATGCTGGATTATGGCTATCAATGGATAGCTTTAATTAGAGGAATCCATTTTTAATACCACTGTTTAGGAAAACTTTGGAAAACTTTAGCTGTCAGATAATCTTTGTAGTTGATTACTAGCCAATCCTATGCCTATCCTGCTGAATTACATGGGATTTCTTCCCAGGTAATTAGGAAGTGGTGATTGGTCTACCTTTCAGGAAAGAAGACACCCAGAATTGCTCACTGGGTCATTTTTGACTTTGCGCTTAACAAAAATTACCAATTATTTTATTTTCAGCCTCTTAAATTATTCATTTGGTTTTGCATTTACGTTCAGCTGCTACTTCATTTGCCATTTTCTCCTTATTCTATTGTCTAAATGCATAAACATTGTCCATGGAACAGTGTCTTTCTTAATACTAAGAGATTTTACATTGGTTTCACGTATAGTAGCTGAATTAACACAAATTTCTGCGATTTCAGAGATGAAGTACAATATCAGCTCCTTCCCCCAAATCTGCAGGAAAGGTGTTAAAAGAAGAACAAGGAAGGGTTTGTGTGCCAGTTAGATACTAGATAGCATTCCTGGATTGGTCAACTTGTGGGAGGACTGATTAGCTCAAAAAGGAGAAGATCAGACCAAGCTCCAAGCAGGGAAGAGACAATCCTGCTTATAGTTGGGGATGCAGTGCAGAGGGGAAGGGAAGGATTAAGAAAAGGCAAGATGGTGATTACAATCACACAGTTGAGACCCCATCCATTTTTATGTGCAAGAAATGTAAAAGACACCTTGACTTTTCAGACATGTCCCTTTTCCCTGCAGACAACCCTGGGAAAAGGAGGATGCCAGTGGTTATATGGAACCAGCCTCCGAATTCATTACTATAGATGTGATTCGGGATTGGACTGGAAAAATAATAAATTGAGAGTTTGCTCGTGTTTTCAGTTAGCAGTCATTCTAATTATGCCATGATTCTTGAATATATCTTTCCCTCTTTGTAGTTAAGGAAGACTGTCAGGGTTCTTTGTGAGTATGTTCCCCTTTTGCGGTTTTCGGCAATCAAAATGAATAAATGAAGACATGTTCTCTAACTTTTAGAAAAACAAGTGGGATTTGCAACTCCATGCAGCATGAAAAATTTGTTAGGCATTCTCTATTCTTGTTCTCTCCCCAACCCACTCACCCACCCCTTTTCTTTTGAACAGGGACTAGCTTTGTGCAATGTACAAAATTGTTTGTTTACCTATGGTTAATTCAATAAACTGTAATTAGGTTGCAACAGCATGCTAAGCCATAAAACATGGTTTAGAAGTCTCAAGAGATAACCGAGCATAGAGAGATCACATTATGAGTCAGCTCAATATAAGAACTTTGTTAGTAAATTGGCATTCCACATTCCTTATTAGGATATTTATTCCCTAGTAATTCCCTAACTTCCTAAGTAAATGCAGAGGGGCCATTTCTGGCTTTACAGTATAAGCATGCCATTCACATCACGAATACCAAAAATGATAATTTGCTTGGTACTGTATTTCATTTTCCCTTATTTTGATGGTTGATGGGTGCAGCCTATAGAATGTGTTTTGGTTCTTTGTTGTAATGATAGTATAAGCAAAACATTGTGATAGTTGTCAAGCAGCAGTCATAGATCCCTCCCTTGAAATTCTCACATAATGCTCCTAAATATGGTAACTGTAGAGCAGGGGTGTCAAACTGCCAGCCCGTGGGCCGGTTTCATCATACCGAAGCCACACCCATCCCATTGCTAGCAATGCAAAAAGAGTCATGACATGTCACAACATGTCACGTGACATGGCGAGTTTGACATCCGTGCTGTAGAGGGAGAGAAACAAATGAAAAGCCATGCATTTGCAATATTATCTTGCTAATGCTATGAATGAAATACCCAGATTAGATGTCATGATATTAATAAGTACATGTGAGATTTGTGGAATGATGTTATTATGTGTTTATCATTTTGATGTCATCATGCTTTATTATGGAACTTGCTACCCCTGCAATAGCTTTGTTCTAGAATATTGCAGAGGTTTTTTTAAGGGCATTGAAGTGTTAGACACCATCACTGTGTTGGGCTTCCTCTTTTGGTTGCTGTATACTCTGCAAAAATCACTCAAGGTATTTATGGGGCATAACTTGTGATCCACTGCACACCAGACTGAAGCCAGTTTGGTTAGCTGATTGCCCTTGGCCCAAATGAGGGACCCATTCATTTTAACGCCATCTGCTTTTAAGCTCATCTCTCCTTTCTTCTGTCTTTCTCATGGCTTAATAGCAATAGCAATAGCACTTAGACTTATATACTGCTTCACAGTATATACAGCCCTCTCTAAGCAGTTTACAGAGTCAGCATATTGCCCCCAACAATCTGGGTCCTCATTTTATTGACCTCAGAAGGATGGAAGCCTGAGTCAACCTTGAGCTGCTCAAGAATCGAATTCCTAGAGTGAGCAGTGAGATAGCCTGCAGTACTGCATTCTAACTACTACGCCACCACTGCTTAATAGACAGTGTATGAAACCAGTTGGCTACTGTTATTAGCAGTTGGTTATGGAATTTCCTATCGCAGAAAACTTTAACTCCCAACACATCTCCCCACATTGGGCAAATAAAAAGTAGAAGTTACCCAACTGAGTGAAGCAGAGGAACCAAATCCTGGGTCATCAGTAGCCACCTAATGGGCTATGTCTTGATGGTGGAGTTATGGTGGTGGAATACGATGTGTTTTATCATGTGCTTTTAGACTTATTTGAAACAACTAGTTTTGAAGGATGTCAATCTGCCTAATCTCTCACTAAGCAAACAATCTCATGATGCTTACACGCCACACTAAGCTATAATGTAGCTTGTTTAATTTGGGCTTAACTCAATGTATGAACTCAGACATTGGAAATTGTGGTTTGCAAGTTGTAGTTCTTTCTATTGTCTCAGTGTGTTGCGAATTGGGTGGATACACACACACACACAGGGTATATCTATCGTTCTATCTCACTGAAATTGCTGTGCTTTTTGCTCCATATTTCAAGGGCAGATCACATTCCTGCATCAAGGAAGAACTTTTATTATTGTTTTTAATAGCCATGGAAATAATGAAGTAATGTAATAAAATTAACAGACGGGGCAGGGAAGAATTTTCACTTGGTTTTCTCCCATTTTGGCAGCATGTGTGCGTTTGTGTGGGAGGTGGGATTTTATTTTTATAGATGTGTTAAACTGATCAGAGGCTTTGCATGCTGATTTCCCTTTGTTTCCCACAGGAAAATCATCCTGCAGCTGATATTTGGTGGCATGTTCCTGAGGGAGTTCTATGGATCCCCAAATGGGGCTAAGGCTGCCTGTGGCCTATACTAAAGTTGCATGGCTCAGCTGAGAAGATATCCAAGACTGCTGTTTGAAGGGGCTGGTGAACATTCTCCAAGCATAGCCTTGCTCATTTTTTGCAGCAAAAACAATCTTGTGAGTCTCTTTGCTATCCTTTCCTTCCTGGACAGCCTTACCTGTGGAGGTGTGACATAATCTGCTGTATCCATAATCCGGTTACTGTAATTGCCAAACCCCTTCACTTTTGTCACAACAGAGGATTCAATGGAGGTGTCCCTTATCTGGTAGGCCTTCTCATGCAGGAACACCCACCTGTGGAAAAGAGATCTTTCAATACAATAACTCAGCCCTGGCTGGCTGAGGAATTCTGGGAGTTGAAGTCCACAAGTCTTAAAGTTGACAAGTTTGAAGACCCCTGCAGTAACTCTTCTACGACTAATGGAAGGTACAACTTCTGTCCTGTTCCCAATGTTGCTGAATTACAGGGCCTAGAATCCACACCTCCCTCTTGCCTGAGGCTAGTCTGTTGAGCACTTTAGTTCAGCTGCATTTGAAAGTTCGCACCTGCTGCATTATAAGAAAATATAACATGGCAAATTGATTAATTATTATCAGCAGCCTTCATGAAATGGTTCCTTAGACAAACTAGATCTGTAGCTTCTGACTCTTCTTGGTTTTGATTGGCATCTTTGATTGGCTGTTCTCAATTAGCAGTCTCTCAATGGCATCCTCTGCTGACTAACTCCCATTATGGCTTATTTGGACCTATTTTAATTGTAGCCAACCGGGCAGTGTTTCTCAACCTTGGCAACTTTAAGACATATGAACTTTAACTTCAACTGATCTAGAGATGCCATTTTGATGAAACATAGCCTAGGTTTCATTAAGGTGTTGTATCTCCCAACCCTTCATACAGCATTAATAATGATGAAATGCTTTTTGTCTTAAATTTTTATCTGCTAAGATGTTTTAGACACCTGTGAATTGACTGCTGTAAGCCCAATCTTGTCTAACTTCAGGAAACTAACAAGTTTATTCACGGGTGAGCTAGATTCATTCTGGTTTGCAATTCAGCCACCAAACAAGCCTGTACGAAATCTAGCTTTGTTGTAAGATAAGTAAATTGATTGTACAAACCTTTAGACTGCTAGACTATCCGTTAGAACTGGCCATTAAAGGATGTTAAAATTACTCTTTTGTTAACCTAATCAGGCCATTCCAGACATTCATTTTACTTCTTGATGTGCACTGCCCTCTAGTGTACAGAAAGAATTTAGTTTGTTACCACAATTCATTGAATTTAATTAAAAACTCAGCATTGATTTCTACAAGAACAAGCACATGCAGATTGTCAGCATTGATAAAATTATCTCTTGAACTCAGGTACTGAAGAGTAGGCTCCCCTGGTTTTAATTAAACTTACTTCTAACTAAGAACATGCACTTACGAATGGAAAGTGTAACATAACCAAATTGCAGATTATAGAACCCCTCTGATAATTAGTCTGATTTCTCATAGGCAAGAGGGTGCAATGTGCTGATAATGTATAAGCATTTAAGATATGTTTTTTTAATGGAATATGAGATGCCTAATTCTGATTCCGCCACTTCCTCTGGCAAAGTATTTCCAATTGCCAATTATTTCTTCTATGAAATATTTATACCAAACTCCTAATTCAAATGCTTCATTCTCACTGCTGGATTTCACTCTGCCTGTCTAGATTTTTTTAAAAAAGAAAGACAGAAACCCTGTGTCTCAACTATGAGACATCTTGCAGAACTTGCGAGCAAATGTAGTTGATGCTACCCAGTTTGCACTGGAAGAATTTTTGAGCATCATAAGAGGGAACAAAATCTCCATGAAGTATCAGATACCACACATTCAAGGCTGGATGGCCACTAATGGAACAAATTCAATTACAGCCTTTTTTGCCTCCTACCTCCAGATCCACTGAGAACTTGGTAAAATGCTAACGCCATTAACCACAATTATCTTGAAATCAAACTACCCTTTCTGCTAAATGTTCCTGCGTTTACTTCTCTTTTTGGTCATCATGGGAGAACATAATCCATATAGGCCATACCTTTCTTATTCCAATTAATGTTTATCATTTAGTTGCTGGTGTGCTAATTTCTATCTTCATGGGCAAGGTAGTTAAGTGCCAGGAAAAAAAAGAAAAGGGGGGGAAAACATGGATCTGGTCTTTGAGTAGAGTGTTAAAATAGAATCAAGATCACATGAAGTGTTAATTCCACTTTATAATGCCTTGGTAAGACCACACTTGGAATACTGCATCCAGTTTTGATCACCACAATGTAAAAAAGATGTTGAGACTCTAGAAAGAGTACAGAGAAGAGCAACATTAGGGGACTGGAGGCTAAACCATATAAGGAACGGTTGCTGGAATTGGGTATGTCTAGTTTAATGAAGAGAAGGACGAGGGGGGACATGATAGCAGTGTTCCAATATTTCAGGGGCTGCCACAAAGAAGAGCGAGTCAAGCTATTCTCCAAAGCGCCTGAGGGCAGGACAAGAAGCAACAGATGGAAACTAATCAAGGAGAGAAGCAACCTAGAACTAAGGAGAAACGTCCTGGCAGTTAGAACAATTAACCAGTGGAACAATCTGCCTCCAGAAGCGGTGAATGCTCCAACACTGGAAGTTTTTAAGAAGAAACTGGACAGCCATTTGTCCGAAATGGTATAGGGTTACCTGCCTGAGCAGGAGGTTGGACTTGATGACTTTCCAACTTTATTATTATTATTATTATTATTATTATTATTATTATTATTATTATTATTATTATTATTATTATTATTATTATTATTATTATTATTATTATTATTATTATTATTATTATTATTGAACCCTACTGAACCCTACTCGGTAACAAGTCGGGAAATGGTTGTGTCCCTGTAGTGAAATCCTCTGGTTTTGTTTGCCTTCCCACAAGTATCACCAGCAGGCAGCAGAAACATCAACCAACTGCTGTCTTTGATGTGGGATTGGGGTTGTAAGAAAGTGAACTTTGTGCAAGGGTTTTACGAATGTGCTTCCCAAGGGAGCTTATTAGGTTCCTTTGGGGGCTTGTGTTTAGCACTATTCTGGAACAGTGCTCTTCCATGAATTCTGGAGTAGCCCCATTCTTGTACAGCATTACATCTGAGTTTATAAATAGCCCAAACAGGTTGACAGGCAGGAGGGAACTGCTGAGAGGTGTAGTGGGAAGGATTATTGGGTGGGATGAGGAAAGGCTGTATGGCAAAGAAATGCAAGCTGTTGTTTTTTAAAAAAAAATGTGGGGAGAGGAACTAAGGATGAGATAACATAATGGCAAATCACATCAATATGACACGATGTACTAGTGTTTGTGTGTTTTACATTTAAATGTAAATTGGTTCTTCTTTTCCCCTTTGGAACCAAAAATGCTGGAGTGGGGAGGCACCCCCTACAGTAATGGATTTTAATCAGGGAGGGGACGAATTTTAGAGTGTTTGCTAATTGATTAGAGCAAGTGCTCAAGAGAGCAAGGTTGGCTGGGAACAGCATTCCTCTGTTTACCAGCCAAGATGTTGCAATTCTAGCGATTTCTCTGGTCAGTTATTCCACTTGACAAACTTGTAAGCCTACAATGTCTTGTTTTCTTTTTATTATTTTTTTAGACGGGTTTACTGTTCTTTCAAAATCCCAGCTCCCTGAATACATTATCACCGGCATTGTCACTGAAGCATCTTTGATTGTGTCCCTAGTAAGACTTTTATTTATTTTTTATATATTTATTTGTTAAATATATTTTTCGCCCATCTTGCTGTGAGGTTGCTCTAGGTGGCTAACAATAGTAAAAAGAAAGAAAGTGAAAGGAATGCAAACAGAACAGAGATAAAATAATAGAACCATAAAATAAACAATAAAAAAGGAAGACAACGAGAATACATCAATATGATAACCAAAAAGATGGATGGATGGAAAACAGAGAGCAAGGGGGGTGCGGGTGGGGGGAGGTGGAATCTGCCATCAATCCAGCAGCCATTTCTGGTGTGGAACTCGCTCTTTTGGTCCCCAGCCCAACCAGCAGAACCAGGTCTGCAGGTCTTCTTTTCTCTGAAGAGGGAAAACACTACTTTTCAACTGGAACAGCTACAGATAAACATAAACTGCTTTTCTTTTCTAGTGAGCGAGGACTGAGGCAAGACTTTTAGCTCAATTGATGAAATATCTTCATGCAGAGGCTAGAAGAATATGGTGACAAGCCTAGAGCACATCAATCCAGACTGCATTGATCTAATAGGAGCTGCCCTTGAAGAGTATTCAGAAGCTCCCATTGGTGCAAAATGTAGCGGCACGGGCAGTCATGCCTGCACTTAGATGTGTGCATGTTACATCCCTGCTCCATGAGCTGCATAGGTTACCAATTTAATTTGCTTCTGTGTCCAGTTCAAGATTCTGGGGGTAACCTATAAAGCCCTTTTGGGTTGTGTTGTTTCCCCAGTGACATCTACCCATCTCATCAGGTCCAACAGAAGAGGTTTGTGGTGGGTTCCCTCTACTAGAGAATGTCACCTGGCGTTTACTTTTGTTGTAAACTACTGACAATCTGAACGGTTTATTGGCATGCTATTATTGTTGTTTTTACTACTATTGCAGGATGATAACATGATCTATCACTGAGCATTCAAGGCACAAGCACAATATCCCTTTTGGCTTTTTCTCAACAATCTGGGGTCCTCCAGAAGAACTCAACTCATGTCACTCAGTCAGCAGATTTATCAGGGATGATGGGACTTACGGACTGGCATACATGTTTTGAACTCTCAGTTTAGGTTATCTTGATGTATTTCTTTGGTAAGGGAGCAGAGATTTTTGATTTGTTTTTCTCAGGAGGAAACTGGTCTCTCTGGGCTAGGGGTACAAGTGGGCTTGCTGATTATATACCTGGCTCCCTGCTATGTATCAGCAGCCCTGCCTGAGCTGGCTGACGTGATAGCCGGGGTGGCGGTTGGAACCCCCAGACTTATGGTCTTGGGGGATTTCAACCTGCCATCAGTGGGTGAGACGTCAGCGGCAGCTCAGGAGTTCTTGGCTTCCATGACGGCCT